GCTTCTTTATCTTGACATGGTGAGGTCAAATGAGTGATGCTACTCGGATCCTGTATGCGCGTTTCCGAGACGCAGCACACATCGATGGAACGAGATTCTAAAGTCCTAGCTAGTGATGCCTGTTGCCCTATTTGACACAATGTCCGTACATTGAATGCTCCAACATGTAGTTTGGAACGATGTTTAAGGAGACCAGGAACGACGTTTCGCAAACTCGCATCGTTTGCATTAGCTGTGCACTGTAATAAATGAATGTGAGAAGAGTTAGTTGTGGAGATAAGAGAGGTATTAGGGAATGTAGGAAGGATTTGATTTTGAACAATTTTGTCTCGTGTGCTGTTGCGGGTATGAGGGCGGTTATCACTTCCCGGCTGCCCACACCGTGGAAGGTAGTTTCTTGACGAACCTGAAAAGGAAGATGGATTAGTGTTGGTGCGTGACCGCAGAGTCCAAGGGACAACTGCTTCAGGCCGGTCACGCACGGCCTTTTTATGAGAGGTATTCAGAGGATTAGCTCCGTTCTTAAAGGCCCTTAGTGGGCACCCTTACCCAAGGAGACGGAAATCCGTGAGGTAGGGGAGGTGTGACATTTTTAGGGCCGACCTTTTCTAACCCTTCCTTCCTTGTGAGAAGGCAGCATCGCTGCAGATGCTGGTTGTCCGAGGGAAACACCTTACTGCTGTCACACCCCTCTGCAGTCAGCAGTACGACTTCGCCCTCAGACCTTGAGTAGCTGCTTTTAGTCTCATCGTTCTCCAATCGACCAGCCTGGCATGGTAGGACCTGCAGGAACATGTGTTCCAGCCAGTATAGCTCGGTTGGGTCATCACGATAGGCAAGCCCGACCACCACGTCAAGGTAGCAGCTTCGGTCGGGACAGTTTCGTGAACTCGCATCGTTTGCATTAGCGGTGCAGTGTGATAAAGGAATGTGAGAAGAGTTAGTCGTGGAGATGAGAGAGACGTTAGGGGGTGTAGGGACGATTAGATTATGACCGATTTGGTCTCTCGTGCTGTTACGGGTATGAGGGCGGTTGTCACCTCCCGGCTGCCCACTCCATGGAAGTGTGTTTCTCAAGGAACCTAAAGAGGAAGTTGGATTAGGGTTGGCCTTAAAGACCTGGGAGTGTGACCACAGAGCCCAAGGGACAACTGCTTCAGGCCGGTCACGCACGGCATTTTTATGGGTAGTATTTAAAGAGTAATCTCCGTTCTTGTTTAAAAGGCCTTACCGCCGGATACGGAAATCCGTGAGGTTAGGTAAGGTGTGACATTTTTAGGGTCGACCTTTTCTAACCCTTTCCTTCCTTATGAGAAGGTAGCATCGTGGCAGATGCTGGTTGTCCGAGGAAAACAACTTGCTGCATTCACACCCCTCTGTGGTCAGCAGTACGACTTCGCCCTCAGACCTTGAGTAGATGCTTTTAGTATTATCGTTCTCCACTCGACTTGCCAGATATGGTAGAACCTTCAGGAACACATGTTCCAGCCAATATAGCTTGGTTGGGTCATCACGATAGGCACGCCCGACCACCACGTCAAGGAAGCAGCTACAGTCGGGAAAGGACGTGAGAACCAAGAGAGAAGCTGACGTAGCCCAAGTTCACCACTCGCTGGTCGCCAAAATGAAACTTAGTCTCAAGAAACACTGGACAACGGGGCAGACAACATCACAGAAGTTTAATACAGCCTTTCTTTGGGATACCGTAAAACTCGACGAATTCAAAATAGCCCTCAGCAGTAGGTTCCAGGCCTTGCACGATCTGCTCAATCGAGATGAAACAACCATGGAGAACATTTGAAAAGGGATCAAAGGGGCAATCACATCAACATGTCACGAGGTCCTGGGTCACAAGAAGCACCATCACAAGGAATGAATCTCTGTTGGTACTATTGAAAACATTGAAGAAAGGTGGAACAAGACGGCAGCAATCAATGTCAGCCGAACAAGAGCAGAGAAAGTTACCGCACAAGCTGAATACACAGAAGCAAACAAGGAAGTGAAGGAGAGCATCAGAGCTGACAAACGAAAATATGTGGAAGATCTAGCAATGACGGCGATAAAGGCTGCAAGAAAAGGAAACATGAGACAGTTGTACGACACAACAAAGAATCTCGCTGGAAACCATCGTAAACCAGAACGACCAGTGAAAAGCAAGGAAGGGAAAGTAATCAGTAACACTGAAGAACAGCGAAATAGGTGGGTAGAGCACTTTCAAGAACTCCTGAATCGACCAGCTACACTGAACCCACCCAACATCGAAGCAGCATCCACGGACCTCCCAATTAATATTGGCTCACCTACGATTGAGGAGATCAGTATGGCAATCAGACAAATCAAGAGGGGCAAAGCAGCAGGACCAGACAACATTCCAGCAGAGGCATTGAAAGCAGATGTGGAAACAAGTGCAAAAATACTTCATATTCTCTTCAACAAGATTTGCGATGAAGTACAAGCACCAACAGACTGGAAAGAAGGATACCTCATCAAAATACCAAAAAAAGGCGATCTCAGCAAGTGTGAGAACTACAGAGGCATCACCCCTCTCAATACCAGGCAAAGTCTTGTGTATTGTTAAACAGAATGAAGGACTTCGTAGACGCCCGACTTCGAGACCAACAGGCTGGATTTCGTAAGGATCGATCATGTACTGACCAAATTGCTACATTACGGATCATTGTGGAACAATCATTTGAATAGAACTCACCACTGTACATCAACTTCATTGACTACGAGAAAGCATTCGATAGCGTGGACAGGAAAACACTGGAGGCTTCTTCGACACTATGGTGTGCCTGAGAAGTTAGTTAACATCATACAGAATTCTTATGATGGATAAGCTGCAAAATCGTGCACGGAGGTCAGCTGACAAACTCGTTCGAGGTTGAAACCAGTGTCAGGCCAGGCTGCTTACTCTCACCCTTTCTCTTTCTCCTGGTGATCAACTGGATTATAAAGACGTCGACATCTGGAGGGAAGCACGGTATTCAGTGGACAGCTAGGACGCAGCTGGACTATCTGGACTTCGCAGGAGCTGCATTTCTACAATTGAAAAATTTCTGGAACTCCAAACAACTTTCAATCAAAACCAAAATCAGGATTTTCAATACAAATGTCAAGACAGTTCTGCTGTATGGAGCGGAAACTCAGAGAACTACGACAGCCATCTTCCGGAAGATACAAGTGTTTATCAACAGTTGTCTACGAAAAATACTTCGGATTCGTTGACCAGACATGATCACCAACAACCTACTGTGGTAGAGAGCAAACCAGATATCAGTGGAGGAGGAAGTCAGGAAGAAGCGGTGGGAGTGGATAGGACACACACTGCGAAAAGCACTCAACTGTATCACAAGACAAGCCCTCACATGTAATCCTCAATGCCAAAGGAAAAGAGGAAGGCCAAGGAACACATTACGCCGAGACATAAGAAGAATGAACAAGAATTGGACAGAACTGGAAAGGGAAGCCGAGGACAGAGTTGGTTGGAGGAAACTTGTTGGCGGCCTATGCTTCATTGGGGTTAACAGGCTAAGGTAAGTACGTCAGAAGGTACAGGCAACCGGGATGCGCCAACTGTCTGCATCCATAGCAATACTAGATATCCTATATATTATCAACCTTTCTCCTATAACTCTTTATCCCGCTACACTACTAATGCTAAATATTCGAATACATGAAATGTTAGTCTCCTGGAACCTAAATCTAAACTGAATGTTCGGGCTGACTGACTGACTGTTGGGACTTTCAATGCTCTAACCTTGTGTTGAACAAGCTAACAGGATTCTTTAGCTAGGATTCTATAGTCATGTGCCATCGATGTATACTGTCTTGGAGAGATACAAGATACAAGTGTGGTCATTTACCTGATCTTACCTGATCAGTATGCAGGACTAATATGACTTGACTGCTGCTTCTTGTAACGTTTCTGGCGTAGTTATGGCAATAAGTCCAAAAGCAGAAGAAGCTCTTATAGACTGGATTTTAGTAGACAGTCATTTATATGCTGTCCACTTAAACGAGTTAGTAAGAACACTGAGAAATATAGACATAGAGTGTTGCCTCTTTTTTTGTTTTTACCCGCGCTCCCACCAATCTCATTTTGGATAAAGTAAGAGATGAGCTTTCTTTTCTACAAAAAGCCAAACACAGAGACGCAATCGCTTCAGTCGATTTTGACACCTAAACAGGTAGTTTAAAGCGAATTAAAGGACATTAGACGGGTCTTATAGTGTCCCAGCTCAGCAAATAGAAAACAGAAACTGTCTGTTGCAACTATGTCCAGATAACTGTATACTCATAATAAGCACTAAGTTTAAGTATCAGATGAAGCATTGTCTGATATGACGACCACCGAAATCGATTCAACGATGGACTCAGATAGAACGATACCATTATGGTCATCACTGGGGAAGTTGAGTAAAAGACGGTCGTTCATTATGTGTCATATTTCTAAACTCCGGTCGTGCTACAGTAGAACCACTTGTTTGATTCTATCTAACCGGGTCCAGATAATGCACATCAAAACTTCTTAGAGTTCAACTGAACGATCACGAAGTTCAGAACATATTTTAATAACAACTGGTAAGGTAGTTCACGTAAATGTAGGTTGGTATAATATCCAGACATCTGTGGCGATAACAGTGATACCTATCAGTAACGTAAACTAAAAGGTTTAGAAACATCACTCCAACTCCTGATATGATTTCCAATGGATTTTGTTGATCTGTCTGACTTAGCAATGATTAGGAAGAAACTTTAACCACCAGGCTTTGCCATATTGATACATCAAGCTTAGTAATCCAGAAATGTTTTACACATGACATATCAACTATTTTTTCGAATTGAACACTTCTAATGCTAGAACTGAGTGACAAGTTTACAAAATGAATATTAACTGTCTCATATTAATATCTCTTGATACATCATGACTTTAAATGATCGATATATTTTTTTACATGACCCTGTTAAAGTGTTTCATCTTATTTCTTCACTTATAGATATTTGAATGTTTACCTACTACAATCAATGCTAATTCCTCTGCTTGGGAAATGGATCATACTCGTGCTGTGAAAGATTATCAACGTTCTTCAGCTGATCAACCTGTACCTTTACCTAGAGAACTTCGACCAACCAGTGTTTTACACCGTACAATGGCTTATTTACTAGCTAGTATAGCTGATCGTCCAGAAATTGATACTAATCGTAGTTTATGGAAACCGTGGTATGAATTTATGTGGACACGTACACGTGCTATTCGTAAAGATATAAGACAACAAAATTTATGTTGTCCAATTGTAATTGGTATTATTGAACGTATAGCAAGATTTCATATATTTTGTGCTGCACGATTAGTTGATCAATCAGTCGATGCATTTGATCCTCGTATTAATTCAGAAAATTTAACACAATGTCTACAAACATTAAAAGAGATGTATACAGATTTAGATGCATCATCAACAACAACAACTGAAAATTTATGTCCAAATGAAGCAGAATTTCGTGGTTATATGCTTTTAATGAAATTGAACGATCAAAATGAAATCAAGTAAAGAGTATATGTTTTTTTTTATGTAATTAAAAATGGTTGTTGTTAGTAAATAATGATACAATATACATATGAAAGGACTGATCGAACTTAGACATTAACATCGTTAGATGCCGATGCAGTGGTCCAGAGTTTAGGCGTTCGCGCGGGCTCGAATCCTGCTAAGTGCAGGAGTCGTGGATGCGCACTGCTGATGATTCCCCTACACCAGGATGAAACGGCCTTCCAGTGCTTTGAGGTTTCTAATGATGGTCTAACATTGATCAATTCATCATTTCAAAAAAAATATACATGTATACAATATACATATACTGTTTGATATCACTTACTTCACTTGAATGTGGTGTATCTAACTGGGGGAAAATATCGAAACGAATGAAAATGCAGTCGTTAATTTCATTCATAATCATCAAAAGTTACTGTCAGACTGAATCAACAATTTTGTTGATATCTCATGCAATAACACAACGAGTTATTCCAGTGAGTCAGCAACAACGTAGAACTTCGTACGTACATCAGTTTAAGTTGCCATACCACATTAGCACAGAGAGGCAATTGTCAATTCAAATCCCATAGCAGTAGAGGTAGTAAGAGTATTAGCAGTAATCGAAGAAATTAGGGTTTGAAGATGTTATTCAAAGAGTATAATCTAGTAAAATAAGGTCTGAGGGCGAAGTCATACTGTTGACTGTAGAGGTGGTGACAGCAGTAAGGTGTTTCCCTCGGACAACCAGCATCTGCAGCGATGCTGCCTTCTTACAAGGAAGGAAGGAATTAGAAAAGGTTGACCCTAAAAATCTCATGGATTACCGTCTCTAGTGGTAAGGCCACTTGAAGAGCGGAGCTTGCACTTTACAAACTTCCCATAAAAAGGCTGTGTGTGACCGGCCTGAAGCAGTTGTCCTTTGGGCTCTGAGGTCACACTCCCAGATCTATAAGACCAACACTAATCTACCTTCCTTTTCAGGTTCCTCGAGGAACACCTTTCCCACGGTGTGGGCAGCCTGGAAGTGTTATCCGCCCCCATACTCGTAACAACACACGAATTCAAACAAGTCACAATCAAATCCTTTCTACAGTTAGTCTATTCATTTCAATAGTATTTGTCATCATCGATATCTTAGCGGGAAATTTCATTTCAATAGCATAAGTTATTAAAACTGATCAATAATCGTATTGTCTAATCTCGCTGGTATTTAATTCATTGATGTGTTACGGACAATCTAGCTCTTGAGACAACTCTATATGTATGTGAATCCTTGGTCTTTGCAATGGATTCTATGGAGCTAATCGGTCTTATCAGTTTCATAAAACCTACTCTCTTCAATGGCATCCATTTCTATGCGTTTGCTTCTTATCATAAGTAAATAAACCAATTTTACCGTCATTTTCATATTGGTAATTGTTTCCTGTCATTTTTCTTTAATTTGATAAGACAGAATGAATTGGTCAACTGTGTCATTCAGTATATTTATGGAATAATTTTCAACATGCTTCTTATGAATTTGATTTGTTGAAAACATTTTGATTGTTGGTTTGTTTTGTTTTTGAAATTTTAGTGAAGCTCAGCGTTTACCTGATCGAATACGTCAATCTAAGTCGGTACGATTTGCATTTGCTACACATGAAGCTCTTATAACAAATAATTATATAAGATTTTTTCGTTTAGCTCGTCAAGCTACATGTTTAGTTGCTTGTCTTATGCATAGATATTTTCTACAAATACGTGGTCAAGCTCTAATGAAACTTTCTAGTGCATTTGCTGGACATCCAAAACGAGAGGTTCAGGTGAGTAGTGTGTCTTTTCAGGAGGTTGCCTGTCAAAATCAATGTTTTAATTTGTATTGTTATGTAATTCAAGTACTATCATGGTGCTTCAACGAGTTAGTTATTGTTTTAAAGAATTCTTATGTGATGAGGTTTTAGGAATTAGCCCAAATAATTCATGCACTCATTTGTGTTTCGATCAATCAACACAAGTATTCAGTCTACGTTAACTGTATTACAGTTTAAGTACTCCGCGACTGTAGCTGCTACCTTGACGTGGTGGTCGGGCTTGCCTATCGTGATGACCCAACCGAGCTATATTGGCTGGAACATCTGTTCCTGAAGGATCTACCATACCTGGCAAGTCGAGTGGAGAACGATAATACTAAAAGCATCTACTCAAGGTCTGAGGGCGAAGTCGTACTGCTGACCACAGAGGGGTGTGAATGCAGCAAGTTGTTTTCCTCGGACAACCAGCATCTGCCACGATGCTACCTTCTCATAAGGAAGGAAAGGGTTAGAAAAGGTCGACCCTAAAAATGTCACACCTTACCTAACCTCACGGATTTCCGTATCCGGCGGTAAGGCCTTTTAAACAAGAACGGAGCTTACACTTTAAATACTACCCATAACAAGGCCGTGCGTGACTGGTCTGAAGCAGTTGTCCCTTGGGATCTGAGGTCACACTCCCAGGTCTTTAAGGCCAACCCTAGTCCAACTTCCTCTTCAGGTTCCTTGAGAAACACACTTCCACGCTGTGAGCAGCCGGGAAGTGATTACAGCCCTCATACCCGTAACAGCACGAGAGACCGAATCGGTCAAAATCAAATCCTTCCTACACCCACACGCACCTCTCTTCTCTCCACGACGAACTCTCACTGCACCGCTAATGCAGACGAAGCGAGTTCACGGAACGTCATTCCTGGTCTCTTGAAACCCCGTTCTAGACTACATGTTGGAGCTTTTAATGTACGGACATTGTGTCAAATAGGGTAACAGGCTTCCTTAGCTAGGACTTTAGAATCTCGTGCCATCGATGTATGCTGTGTCCCGGAAACGCGCACACAGGATCCTAGTAAAATTATTAATCTGATTTCACCTTGTCAAAATAAAGCAGCAACTCGATTTACTCTTCGTGTATCTGGAAGCCCTGATGCTGCTTCCTGTGGTCTCGCTGGTGTATGTATAGCATTGAGTCGTAGGGCAGAAATAGCTCTCTTAGACTGGATCCCTGTAGATAGTCGCTTGTGCCTGTCGGACTAAACGGGATAGTAAGCACTCAGAAGGATAGGGACACGCCGTTGCCTCTTCATCGTATCTGCCCCCACTGACTGCAGTTCATTCGAGGTTAAAGATGAGTTTTACAGAAAGCTTTCGGACCTCCTCCAAAGAGCTAGGCGCTCTGATATAGTAATAATGGCTGGTGACTTTAATGCTCAAGTAGGTAGACTAAGTGAAAATGAAAGACACCTAGGTGGATGTTTTGGTGTCGCGGCTCAAAGAACAGATAATGGCGACCGTCTGTTGCAACTGTGCTCAGATAACCAACTATTTCTAGCAAACACTA